TTATTTTGATATATCACAGTGAAAGATTTATCGTCCTCTTTTTTTTTTTTTTTTTTTTTTTTTTTTTAAAAAAAAAAAAAAAAAAAAAAAAAGAAAATCCCAAGCAGTAAAATATTATGTCTCTGTTTAAAAGATCTTCAAAATCTAATAAAAACCTAAGTCTTAGAAAATGTGTTTAAAGTATATTTTAATTGTTAGTTTCTCTCTCTCTCTTTCTCTCTCCTCTCTCTCTCTCTCTGTCTCTGTCTCTCTCTCTCTCTCTCAATTCAATTTCCTTGGTTACATTGCTTTTTAAAGTGTATTTTAATTGTTACTTTTTCCTTCTCTCTCCCTTCCTCCCAGTCCTTTCTTTGCTTGCTTGCTCTGAGAATTGAAACCTGGGCCTGATAAATGTTTAGGCAAGCACTCTACCACTGAGCTATATCCCCAACCCCTTAATTTTGTTAATTTTTTAGTATTTCAATTCTTATGCTAAAATAATGTTTGAAATTCTTTCATATAGAAAGCCTGAATTTTTCCCCAGATACAAATTTTAAAAGACCAATATTTTTTTTGAGGGGGGGGGGCAGTCTTTTTGATACAGAGTCTCCCTGTAGCCCCAGGTGGCCTGAAATGCACTATGTATACCAGGCTTCTCTCAATCTCACAGAGATTTGCCTGCCTCTGCCTCCCAAGTGCTGGAACAAAAGGCATGTACTACCAGACAGACTTAAAAGATCCATTTTTTTAAAAAAAAACTATAAAATGGCCCAATCTCTTTAAACGGTAACATGAGCAGAGTTTTTTAAAGCATGACACTCTATATTATACAATGCTTATTCCTACTTCCATAACTATATATCTGGCTAACCACAAAACATGTCTATGTATGTGAACCTATGTGTATATCTCTGGCCTTACTAACTTGCTGACAAAACAAGTTTTGATAAACAAGGTACATTTTTAAAGGAAGGCACATTAAAGCACTTAACATAATTTTTCACCAACCCAGCTATTTCAAATTTCTGTAAACTGCAGGTAAATTTCAGCAATATTTCAATGAATACCTGAATAAGTAAATGATAAACACCATGAAAGGAGAAATACATATCCAAAGTGCCCCTTTAGCTTTCAGTTCATAATAAAGCTAAAACAGTGAATTCACACCATGCAATTATAAAGAGAAGGGGCAATCAGAGCTTTGTTTTTTAAGTAACTGAGAGAAAACTATCAAGAATCTCACCCTCCCCCCACCAAAAAAAACCCAAAACAGAACAAAAAAAGGGGGGGATGACAAACACACAAGTATTACAAAGGCAGCAATTCTAAAATCCTCTCTAAGTGGTTTACCTAATTAGAAGACAATTCTCTGCAGCACAACCTCAAAGAATTTATCAGAAGATAGCTAGCTGTTTTTATCTCTAACTCTAACCAGATGATAGGCAAGAAGGAACAAGAGCACAAATGTACAAAAACAGAGCCTCAAAATCCATGATTTATACAGATTTGGAAAAAACATATTCAATATATATAGACTAGGCAGAGATTCTATTAGAATGGCATTTTCTTAAATCAAACTGATAATTAGCCAAAGTGAAATACTCACTCTAACAGAGACCTCCTTGCAATGAAGATCTTCCCTTGTTCTGGAGGTGCTCTCAGATCTCTGGAGAGGGGAGCGGGTGGGGGGATCACAACAAAATATAAGTAGTGCCAGTATTCTAAGAAACTTAATCCGATCATCTGCAAAGCCACCATTCACTAATTCTATTCCCATCCATCTTGCTGGTCTGCCCTGATGCTCATGATCCTCTTCCCAATGACAGGACTTGCAACAACTTCCAACAGCCTCCTGTTCCTATCAGCTGCTTTTGGATACTAAAAGCCCACATTTTAGCAGCCAGCAGATCATCTTATTTGGCCTCTTTGCAGCAGCACTGACACTGCTGTTGGCTATTCCCTTTCCAGATGGCTCTCCAGGAAGTTGGCAGAGAGCCCAGAGGACATAAAACTGACAAGAGCTCAGAATGGCAAACTAGCACCTATTAGCCTGTGATAACCTTCCCTTCTTATTTTGGATGTCTGACCAAATGGAAAAATATATACCAACTGCAATGAGATTTATTACAAGCACACAAAAAAGAGAGGCACAGAGTGATGTGGTTAAAAGCAGTAACTCTGGAGCCAGACTCTGGGTTAAATCCCTGCTGTGCGATCTAATCTGTACTGTATAGATGGCTACAGTATCTACCTCATGGACCACTGTTTGGTTTAAATAAGTTACTCCAAGTAGAGCACTCAACAAGTGTTGGCTCAATTATTCTGTTGGTCAATAGTCTTAAAGGTATGTACTGTGTATGTTATAAACCCCGCATTGGGTGCAATGGCTCAATGGGTAGGCACTGCCACCAAACCTGTCAACCTGGGTTCAATCCCTGGAACCCACGTTATGGAAGGAGAGACCTGAATCTCAAACACCGTCTTCTGATGTCCACATGTGCATTACGGTATGCATGCCCTCCTCCCCATCCATATATACATACAACCACACAAAATAGATAAATCAATGTAAAATCAGTTTTTAAAGATGGACAAATGAACAAATAAACCCCATCTTAAGAAGAAAAATCTTCCCTTCAAGAGATTAAATAACCTTCCCAATGCAACACAACACTCATAAAATGAAGTTGCAGGGCATTTTCACTGCAATCCACATTCTGACCACAGAGCTGTGCTAGAGTAGATGTCTACACTGAAAGAAAAAAACCTGTGTGGCATGATAACCAAGGGGAAGATAAGATTTCCTTCGGGTTTCAATAATACTGTGATACCTTAGGCAGTAAAGTTAAGCTAGTCACGCTTTTTCTTGTTTCAACATACTTGAACATGTGTTGTAAGATGTAATGTAACCTACAGTGCTCTAAAGTGTTTAGCCATTAAGCTGGATTCCTTAGTAGACCAAAATAATGTGCACTAGAGTGTTCTGAGATATCCCCTCATTTTTAAAAGAAAAAAATTTGTTAGAATGTCTCGAGCCTCATTTTCTAAAATCCTCTTTTTAAGGTTTCCATTCCTTGTAGTTAATTCTGCACGGACTGGTCCTAGAAATAAGTATGTAAGTGGAAACACATATCCTTAATGGGGGGAATTCCCTACATGGTCTGTTTTCCAAGTATTAAGAGCAAAACCCTGAGCTTCCCTAGGTCCTGGAATTCAGCAAGGCTTGTGAATGGAATAAGGTACCCAAGCCACATTCTTGGTAAACAGAGGAGATAAAAAGGAAGGAAAAAAAAAAAAAAAAAAAGACAGGGAGAGAAAAGGAAAAAGAAAAGAACACACATAGCACACACTCACTTAGCTCTGTGGTTGTTTTTCATATCTTCAAGGATGGAAAAGGTGGTGAGGGCACACCCACCATTGTCCAGGGATGCCGATTTTTCAATAAGATTGGTCACAAAGTCATCAAAGTGACTACCCACTTCCTTCAGAAAAAGTGGCTTCAATTCCTAGGGTTTAAAACAAATAAAAGAAGTCATAAGCTAGTGCACTCATTTGTGGGCCATTAATATTTCTCTAAAGGGATTCCTTAAACAGAAATGGTTCAATAGAAAGCCGTACTGGGTGAGTTCACAGGAGCAAGAGCAGAAAAAGTCATTTCTAAACTTGACTTGTAGTCTCACATATGGCTACTGAAAAAGCAATCATAAGTAACAGCATACTTTTAAAAATGTGTATTTCCTTTTATCAAACAGGTTCTTATGTAGTCCAGGCTAGCCTCAAACTTGCTATGTAGCTGAGGCAGACCTTGATATTCCTGCCTGCCCCTCCAAAGTGTAAGGATTAAAGGCATGTGTCATCATGCCTGGCTCTAGGTACTTTCTAAGCCCCCATTCCAAAAGCTACCAATGTAAAACCACCCACTAAATGAATTCCTACAAAGAATAGAACATCAAAGTTACAGAATGAGATGAAGGCAAAGGGATTAAGAATCAAGAGTTCAAGGCCATCCTTGGCTACATAGCAAGTTTGAAGGGGCTACCCTGGGGTACATAAGACCCTGCCCCAAAATATGCACGCGCAGGCACACATATAACACACACACACACACACACACACACACACACACACACAGAGCGAGAGAGCGAGAGCGAGAGCGAGAGCGAGAGAGAGAGAGAGAGAGAGAGAGAGAAGATAAAAATGAGGCCATGGGCTGGAGAGATGGCTTGGAGGTTAAGAGCACTGACTGCTCTTGCAGAGGACCTGGGTTCGATTTCTAGCACACACATGGCGGCTACGAATCGTCCTTAACTCCAGTTCCAGGGGAATCCAAAGCCCTCTTCTGACCTCTGAGGCACTGCACGGCATGGGTGCACTCACATACATGCAGGCAATGCACTCATGCACATGTTAAAAAAAAAAAAAAAAGAGAGAGAGACCATTCTTTTCTCTTTATATTTTTATTTAGAAAACAGAATTTTAGCATATTATATGTTATATAATTACCATAATTTTTGATGCCTTTTTTCCCTAAAGCAATTCCTTCACATACCAAGTACTCATAATTTGTTTCAGAGCCTGCCATTCCATATCATATCTACATTCTTTTTTGGGGGGCTTTTAGAGACAGGTTCTCCCTGTAGCCCCAGCTGTCCTAGAACTCACTATGTAGACCAGGCTGGCCTTGAACTCACACAATGTTTACTCCTACCTCTATAATATGTATTTAGTTAACCACAAAAATGTGTATGTGTATCTATATGTATATCTAAATACTGGCATACATTTTCATAAAGCTGCTGTGTGTAATATTATCTTATAAAAAACACGTGTAGAGTCATGTGAAGTGGTGCATCTTGTAATCCCAGCATTCAGGAGGTACAGGCAGGAGTTCCAGGCCAGCTAGACTACTCTGTCTCAAAAAATACATGATAAAAAGTAAATATAATTGATATTATTTTTGGTCCCCAATTATTCTTAACATCTTAGAACATACATTTTATACATTTGCAGCCTCTGAAAAGTATAAAGGAAAACACACACACACACACACACACACATAAACCTCCACATATTTCTCACTATGTTCTATGGGTTGTTAAAATTGTAAATTTGAGTATTTTTAAATTGGCAGGCCTTTATCAAGGAAAACAGTGGTAGTTACTAAGTCTTCAAGGGAACAAAATTCTTTTCCTCTGATAAAATTAAAAGGTCTGAAGTAGGGGCTGGAGAGATGGCTCAGCAGTTTAAGAGCACTGGCCTCTCTTCCAGAGGACCCTGGTTCAGTACTCCCAACCACATGGTGGCTAACAACTGTCCGTAACTCTAGTGCCACCCTCTTCTGGACTCTGTGGGCAGTGCACACACATGGTGTACTCAGAGTTTGGCCGAGTCCTGAGTAAAGTCTATCCAGGTATGATGGGTTATGTTTAATCTCAGGATTCAAGAGGCTAAGGCAGGGGGATTGCTGTGAGTTTGAGATGAGCCTGGGCTATACAATGAATTCCAGAACAGCCTGGACCCAGGGTATGATCCTGTCTAAAAAAATTAGTTAAAAAAAATGAAAATAAAGCCTAGCCAGGGGTGGTGGCACACACCTTTAATCCTGGCCAAATCCTGAGTAAAGTCTATCCAGGTAAGGTGGCTTATGTCTGTAATCCCAATATTCAAGTGGCAAAGGCAAGTGGATTGCTGTGAGATTGAGGTCAGCCTGTGCTACATAGCAAGTTCCAGGCCTGCCAGGGCTAGAGGGAGACCCTGTCTCAAAAAGCCACACATACACACACACACACACACACACACACACACACACACACACACACACACACACACAATGTCCAGGCATAGAATAGAATTACATGCAGGGCAGTAAGAATACGTTAACATGCTCTCATACCTGAGATAGACAAACATATATAAAGCTGCACAGCATGCTACCTCAGTGTCAAGGACAGAACCACCACCAACAAAGACATAAAGAATGGGTAAGGACTTAGCAAACACACAAGGTGAACTGGAGGCAGTGGTGCTTTGGGGTGTTTTAAGAGTTTCCTTTTATTTTTAATTATATGCATATGTGTGACTGTGTTTTGAGGTTTGTACTCATGAGTGCAAGTGCCTGCAGAGGCCAGAAAAGGGCATCAGATCCCCACATGCCTAGAGTTACATAGTTGTGAGTCACCAGATATGGGGTACTGGGAACCAAACTCAGGTCCTCAGGAAGAACAAGTCCTGTTCACCTCTTTTTCTTGCTTTTTGTTGCTGTTGTGGTTTGCTTTGTTTTTGAGCTGTAACCTTGAGGTACTGGTTAGATGGACTGAGGTTAAGAAAAGTAGTAGAAGGAAAGGGAAAACTGAAAAAAGCAGAGCCTGGAAAGTCCGAGGAGTTTCAGCCGCAACAGAGAATGAAGAAAGATAGAGCAGAGGGGCCCTGGGTCCCCTGGGAGAAGGAAGAGTTTCTGTTAATTGTTTTCACACACTGAGGTTATCTAATAATATTTAGTTTAGCTCCTTTGTTTTATTTCAATTATATGGCTATCTTCAGTATGAAATTTGTTTTCAATAGAAACAAGTTCCTGAATCACAATTTTTTTAAATGACAAAGAAAAAGGTTGTTTTCTAATTTCATCTCTAGAAGTACACCTATTAATAATAATAGTGCTGTCCAATGGAAAAAATTACTGAAAGAGAAAGGATCCTCTCATTCTGCTCAGGGCGTGGACCAGTCTCTGAAACATGGAGAGGCAATAAATGATGCATAAACGCAAGTCCCTGTCCTTGCTAATTTATAACAGGGATGGGGGTGCCTTTGTTGAGTTCCCAAAATAGCAGGAATGGTGTTCTTTATCATTGAAACAAAAAAGTGCTAAGAGTTGCGCTCAGAGAAGAAGGAGGAGAAGGGTGAAGTGTTCAGGGGGCACCCCAGAAGGTCTCAACACCCCCTGAGCTCTCATTTCAGCCCCTTTGATGTTCACTCAACAGTAAAAGGAGCCTGGAATCTTGAGATGTGGCATTGGTTCTCAAGCCACTTCTTCCAGTCCCGCTCTTCACACTTCTGGTACCAGTCTGACACCACTAAGTATCATCATGTTAAGAACAACAATGGCATGGAAAAAATGTTACATAAATGCCAGTAAAAACCACTAAAGTCGTCTTCACCTACTCAAGTTCAACTAGTAAGTTCTTTAAAAAGCTGTTTTAAGCAGGATTAGTAGATGCCTTGGCGGATGAAGTACCCGAGCACAAACATGGCCACCCAAGCTCAGCCTGGGAACCCAGAGTGGAAGGAGAGAACTCACTCCTACAAGCTGTCTTCTGACCTCCACATGTGTGCTATAGCACAAGCATCCACACTCCACACACACACACACACACACACACACCCCTAGTATGACGTATATATACATATATACACACATACATACAAACACATATATATACACAATAATACATTTTTAGAATATTTTTATTTTTATTTTATGTGTATAAATGTTTTGCCCACATGTATGTGAGTGCACCACATGCACGCAGTACCCACACAGGTCAGAGAGGGTGTTGGATCCCCTAGAACTGGAGTTATAGGTGGTTGTTAGCCATCATGTGTGTCCTGGGAACTGAATTCTGGTTCTCTGGAAGAGCAGCCAGTGCTCTTAACCACTGAGCCATCTCTACAGCCTCAATACATTTTTTTTTAACTGAAGAGACATTTTTTTTGTTTTTCTTCTATTTTTTGGGGGGGGGTAGGTGGAGGAGTAGGAGATTGTCTTTTAAGACAGGGTCTTGCTAAGTAGCCCAGGTTGTCCTTGAATTAATGGCAATCCTCCTGCCCTGCCAGAGTGCAGAGATTATGAGCCACCACATCTGGCTATGACAAGGTCTTATGCCTTGCCTTACCTACTTCTTGCCCACAGATGAATGTAGAGCCTTTGCTCTTTTCTAACAATGAGGAAAAACATTAAATTACTAATAGTACAGTAAATGTCACATAGAAAAGACAGCTCAGAGTGACAAGAGAATGGAGAAAGAATATAAAAGAGTAGAGCTCACAGGTACACAGTGAAAGCCAGTATAAGGCAGTGGGCTTCAACACCCCAGCACCCCAGACAGTGCACAAAACACTGCTTCATGTGCAGAACTTAGAAGGTTCCGATTCCAATGGGATTAATCCATGCCTTTTCCCCCCTGGACTAAAACTTGTAAGTAGGTAGTTCAGGAATCCAAGGTAACAATTTAAACCATCACATTCTTATATATAGCCTTATTAGATGCCTAATGTTCACATCCTAATGTCTTTCCTTTCTTTCTTTGAGGCATTAAAGTCAGCAGAAGCTGCTGCCTGTGCAACTCAGGAAAACCTACTATTGTGGAGACCATTAGTTTCTTGAAATTCCTCTAAAGATCCTAAGAGAGATGACACTACCAACTACTTAGTCTCATTCTCTGTAAGAGGGAACAGAAAGACACAGCAGAAGGAAGGATCCTCTTCTGCCTTCCAAGTTTTTCTATCACATAGAACTATTTTTATTCAGAAATTCAAAACGTGAGAACAATAAATCTGAATTATGTCTAAGTAACCTGAAAATGACATTGAGATAATTGAAGGCTTTACGATTGGTCTATCCTCAACCTTGCATATGTTAGTACTAATTTCATTCAATCAATGAACCCTGATGGATAGATACAGAGGAAGGCAGGAAGGAGATTAACTAGAAGAGGTAAGTGTTTAGATAATCTAGTAAATATCCCAGCACTTGGGAGACTGAGGCTGGAGAATTACTGGGAGTTCCAGGCCACCCTTGGCTATAGAGTGAGACCCTTTTTCAAAAAAAAAAAAAATGCAAATCAAGGGCTAGAAAGATTATAGTGAGTTCAAGCCCAGCCTGGGCTACATGGCAAGATCTTGTTCTAAAATAATAAAGCTAAGTGCATTACTAAGCCACAATACAGTGATGCTTAAAGAGAGAAAGCCTGACTTGTAGCATTTGCTTAAGGGTGGGCCTGAACTGCTGAGCACCTGTTCCTTCAGATGTCTCTCAGAACTGTGCTCCTGAGCCAGGGTTTTGCTCATTCCTTCATGGAAACAGTGTCTCCAGCAAGAAATGGGGAAGTGGAAGTCAGGACCCACACTTACCTTACCAGAGACTCTTGCCCTTTGATCCCTAGGCCTAGAGTACCACACACACAACTACAAACAGATTTTCTTTCAATGAGATAAGCATGCTACTTTCAGTTGATATGTAAAACATTCAAACACTATCTTGGGTGGAGGGCAAGCAGGAGACTTGAGGGATTAAGGTCATATGTTCAGTGAGCTTGTTTATATTCTAAACAATAGCTTGGTTGCAAGGTTAGGTAAACGTTTTTAATCCAGATTATGCCCATATTGTAAAAATCATTCCTACAAACCAAAGGAGTTAGCTCACATCTGAAGCTTTCCCCACTCTGCTCTTTCTGCCCCCACCTTCACCTCTACATCCCCTTCCACATTCTCCTTCCCTTTTGCATTTGTGAATCTATATGGAAAAGTTCCTCTCACTTTTTTCCTTCTCATTGAAATCTCTTTTTTAATAATAGTAATTTCTATTTTAAGACATTTTTATTTTAATGGGTCTGAGTATTCTGCCTGCATGTGTGTATGTGCAGCCTGAAGGCCAGAAGATAGCTTCAGAACCCCTGGAATTAGAGATACAGGTGGGTGTGAGCCACTATGGGTGCTGGGAAATGAACCAATCCTCTGCAAAAGCAGCCACTGCTTTTAACCTCTGGGAAATCACTCCAGTACCTCTTATTGAAATCTTGTATTGGTTTTGTTGATACAGATTTGCTCAGTATTCACCATGGTCCAGGCTTATAATACCAACTTGTATTTGGGCCAATTAGCAACAAAGTCAAACTTCACTCTTCTTAAGTCTTAAGTTAATATTTGGTGTCTTTTCTTAATATGACCTTGAGATGAGCTGATCATGCCACCAAGAGAAGAAGGAACCGCAGTAACTCAGTTGAACCCTCTGAAGAGATCAGCTTCCTGTCCTGTTCGACCCACATTTCTTTAAGTCCTTAGGGAAAAAGTAAAATCCCCCACCAATCTGAGACTGTTTTTACATTAACTACAAAATAAGAATCCTTACATAGCACCCAACAGACCCTGACAGACAGTCACTGGCCAGATGAACACTATGATATATGCAGTGCACATGCTCCTGAATGAGACCTGGAAAGCAAAAGAAAGGACAACACAACTGGGCATGTGGTGCACAGCTGCAATCCAGGCAAACTGGGAGACTGAGGCAGGAAGAGGTTGAGTTCCAGGATAGCCTGGTAGAGGGGGGAAAAAAGGGAGAGAGGAAGGGAGGGAAAGATCACAGTAATATTTTGTGTTCTTGCTGGGAAAGGAAAAGGAACAAAATAAAGAGGCAGAAGGGGAACTGGAAAAGAAGAAGACACCTACCTGTCCTACCTATACAGGGAAATACCAGGTCAGAAAGGCACTAGTAAACCATAGAAACAAAAATTATTTATTTATTTATTTATTGATTGATTGATTGATTGATTGATTGATTTTGGTCTTTTTGAGACAGGGTCTCCCTGTAGCCCCAGCTGCCCTGGAACTCACTATGTAGACCAGGCTGGTCTTGGATCACAGAGATCTGCCTCTGCCTCCCTAGTGCTGGGATTAAAGGTGTGTGCCACCACGCCCGGCAAAATTATTTGTTTTAATCACTAGATTTATAAGAATGAGCCCTTGAAAACAGCACATGGCTACATATTATTTTCTTAGCTATATTATAAATCATTCAGGTAAGTAGAAGTTGCTTAATAAGTCATGACTGCCACCATTATTATTTGGGAAGTTTTTTTTGAACAGGGTGTGCTACATAGCTTAAGCTGACACTGAAGTCACAGCAATCCTTCTGTGTCAGCCTCTCAAGTGTGGAGATTAGCAGTTACAGGCATCTACCACCCACCTAGCCTAATAAATCTTTAAACAGTCCCTTATATTGGAGCAACAAAGAACTCATCAGAAAAGACATTGTCTGGGCTAACAAGATGGCTCAGTCGGTAACGGTGCCTCCCGTCAAGCCTAAAGACCTGAGTTCAATTCCTGGGATCAACATAGTGAAAGAGTCCTGACCTCCAGTCGTCTCTGACCTCCACACAAGTGAGTGACATGGTCTGTGTACAGGCACACACATAAAATAAAATGTAAAAATAAAATAGTTACATAAAAATGTAAACTAAAAAAAAAAAAAAAAAAAGTAAAGCATTGTCCATAAATAATCCTGATTGCTGCAGTTTTGGAAATTCATACAGGCAATCTAATAAAATCAGAAGAAATTAATAAAATTTAACAGGCTATTAGCTATGGTTTTTTAATATTATTTTTTATTTTTTTATTATGTGTATGAATTTATTGATGTCATGTACATAAGTACACCTGGAGGACAGAAGGGAGCATCAGATCCCCTGGAATTGGAGTTACTGATAGTTGTTGGCTGCCATGCTGGTGCTGAGATTCAAACCCAGGTCCTCTTCCGGAATAGCCAGGTTCTTAAGTTTTTAACCCTCAAAAAAGATCTCCATTTCATTCTAAAATATACTGTTTGTTACAGAAAGACTCATTGTTTTTGCTACTACCACTGAGATGTTGGCACATGTGTCTCTAATCTGTTTGTATCTGATTATTATTAGTCATAATCGTTTGCACTCGGATCCTTGGCCATCTGTGTATGTCTATAAAGTCATCGGGTAGATTACAATGGTAATGTTCATCATCTCTACTAATTAACATGACATAAACTTTTATGCTTCCTCCTCAAATATTATACATTTTTTTAAGTTTGTTGATTTTTTTGTGTGTCAACTATGGTTTTAAACGCAGTTTCAAATATGGCATATATATTTTTTAAATACCACTTTATAAAGCAGCTAACAAGTGGTTATACTGTAGATGTCACAAGTTCACCTACAGTACTGGGGGTATAATCTCTTAATGTTAAACAAATAGGTTCTTGCAATGGTATTCCTAATGATAACATTATCCCTGAACTCAAAAGTGCTATATTTCAAACAAACTAGATGAAAGGGAAATGACATGTTCTTAGCCTTGGGAGATAACTGAAAAAATTGCTCTGATAATAACAAAAACGCTGGTGTCAAAATAAATAATTATCCACTGATCCATTTATATAGTGTTTTAAGTGTTTCTAACTTTAAATTGTTTGATATATATATATATATATATATGAATATATGCAATTAAACTAAAAACTGAAACAGTTGATGCGATATTGGATATACATTGTTTGGACAATGAACTTTGGAAGTTTCCAACTTCCAAAGTTTTCGACACAGTTACTATATTTACACATTTAGTTCGAGGTCAGCCTGGTCTACATAGAAAGGTGCAGGCCAGCCAGAGGTACATAGGAGAGCCTGTGTCAAAAAACAAAAGCAAACAACTGAAGAACCAGAAAATGACATTGCTGAATGGAACAGGAGAGAAAAGGGCAGTGTGCATTCTGAAACAGGATGTCCAAACCACAGATCTTATTTTCTGTTCTATATGAAGATGTCAACCGATGAGAGACAAGTGACTCGTTGAACAATTTAGTAAGCAGGATGAGATGGTACACACTTAGAATCCCAGCACTTGGGAGACACAGATAGAAGGTCTGAGAGTTGAAGTCCAACCTGGATTACATAATGAGACCCTGTCTCGATAAAAAACAAGAGTGGAGCATAGTCGTGTACCCCTGTAATCCCAGCATCTGGGAGGTGGAAACAGAAGGAAGAGTTCCAGGTCAGTCCTGGGCTACAGGAGACTCCGACTCAAAATGCTCAATAAATAAATAAATTAATTAATTAATTACACTCCCAAGTGTTGCTAAACTCTTTACATCAAACCCTGCACCTATGTTTCTGAAGGAAAGCACTTACCTCTGCCTCTGCTGCCAGCTGCCTCTTCTTTGCTATCAACTGTTTCATGTTAATGCGACCTAAGGGAATTAAAAATAAAGAGACTAATTAAAATTTTAAAACTGAGTTTTAAGTGGATGATTAACTACTAAGCAGCACTGAGCCACTAAGCTGAAAAGCAAGCAAACATGAAAGTGTACGTTGTGGTACAAAACACAACACAGTCCTTAAAAAAGAGCGAATAATCTAAGTAGAAGGAAACATATACGTGCAATTACTAAATATAAAAAAATGAAACCACTAAACACGTACACAGTAAGGAGAGGCATGTCAATCATGTGATGCTATGGGTTCACATATGGCAATATGAGAAATTTGGTTTCTAAATAGATCTTCATTTGAGACTATTAAGATACTCGGTAAAATGCTAAGAACTAAAACTTAAGACTCATTGCCAAACTGGTACAAATTCACAAAAACAAAGAAACAAAAAGAAATGAAATTGAATGGGACCCTAAGGAATATGTGATAACCATAAGTATTCTTGCCAAATGCCAGAAACCTTGAGCAAACACTAGCTATCATGTGGCATGTGGTGTTTTCATAGAACAGTGGAACCTAGTACTTCACAGAACAGTGGAACCTAGGGTTTGCTTAATAGTTGTCCTAACAGGACACCAACTTACAGCTAAGAACCTAGAAAGCTACATCCTCAGTGTCTAAGACAGAAGGGACAGAGGAAGCAGTAGGAAACGTGTCTGTCTCTACCTCAGAAGGAAAATATCTCCATTTGAAAACATGTTTGGTCTCAGTGGATTCTGTAACCTAAACCCTCACTATCTCCCTTGTCTCAAAAACCTCAAAAAGTATATTTGTTTTAAAACCAACTCAAGCTGTGTCCCCAGACTACTAATAAATCCAAGTACAATTTCTCCTTGGAAGATCACAGAATTCACCAAGATCTTAAAGAATCCCAAGAGATAAAATTCTAAGAAAAAAGGAAAAGCTTTAAGTTAAACATCATTAAATACCCTAGGAATTAGGATGGTGTGAATGAGAAAGAGCAGAAGGAAAAGTGAAGAAACTCAGATTAGAAAAACTAAACGCATTATAATTCTCAGAGAAAATAATTTTTAGTACATAAAAAGGAAAACAAGAGGCTGGAGAGATGACTCACTAGTTAAGAGCACTGGTTGCTCTTGCAAAGGATCTGGGTTCAGTTCCCAGCACCCACATGGCAGCACACAACCATCTGTAACTCAAGTTTCAGGGTATCTGACACCCTCTTCTGGCCTCTGCACATACATGGAGCACATACATACAAGCAGGCAAAACACTAATACATACAAAATAAAAATAAACTTTAAATTAAAAAAAATGGAATTTTGGAACTGGAGAGATGGCTCAGTGGTTAAGAGCATGGACTGTTCTTGCAGAGGACCGGGGGTCCATTCCCAGCACCCATATGATGGCTAACAACTCTCACACAACTCTAGTTCCAGGGGATCCAACACCCTCTTCTGACCTCTGAGGGCACTGCACCTACCTACAAGCAGGCATTACATTCATACACATAATAAAAATAATAAAATATTTTTTAAAAAACTATTGGAATTTCAAACCCAACGGATGGGCTTAACAAAGCAAGTTAGTGCATGCCTGGAAGGCCAGCACACAGAAGACTGAGGCAGACAAATGGCAAGCTGTAGGCCAGATGAGCTACAGGATGATACCCTTACCTCAAAAAACCAACAACAAAAAGCCAGGCATGGTGGCCCAGACCTTTAACCACACCTAGATCTCTGTGATATCAAGGCCAGCCTGGTCTATATAGTGAGTTCCAGGCCTGTTGGAACTACAGGGAGATGCTGTCTTAAAAATACCAAACAAGGGCCGGTTGTGGTGGTGCACGCCTTTAGTCCCAGTGCTTAGGAGGCAGAGGCAGGTGGATCTCTGTGAGTTCAAGGCCAGCCTGGTCTACATAGTGAGTTCCAGGACAGCTGGGGCTACAGGGAGACCCTGTCTCAAAAAGACCGGAAAAAAAAAAAACTAAACAAACAAATAAAATCAACAACAAATTTAAATAAAAATAAATACCTGAAGTAAACACAACATAAACAGTAATATCTGAGGCAGAAGGATCATGAGTTCAAGGTTCAAGGTCAGCCTGGGCTGCATAGAAAGACCCTTATCTCAAAACTCAAAGCAATCAAACAAACAAGACACAGAGTGGGCTCAAAAGAAAGCCTCAGAGAACAAGATGTATAGTGCCAATGTGCCAAGAGTTATGAAAAATGTCATACCTCAACTAAGACAGATAGCAAAGGATGACAAAGATGATATTCAAAAGTTTACATCCATTACTTTATAATATCTAAAGTCAATGAAGGATGCCATGAAGAAAACAGGGTTCAAAAAGAACTAAATATGATATTCCATCTTCATGGATTAGGCAATTTAATCCTTTCCAATATACCCATAGAGTCAGCAATTCCCATCAAAATTTCAGCTTAGCAGAAATTGACATGTTCATAGTAAAATACAAATTTAAAGGGACTTCAAATACTCAAGACAATTCTTTGGGGGGAAAAAAAAGACTTTATTTATGTTCATTTTATGTGTAAGAGTGTTTTGTCTGCATGTATATAAGTATACCATGTGTGTGCCTACTGCTTGCAAAGGCCAGAAGAGGGCATGGGATTCGCTGGAACCAGAGTCAGTCACCATGTGGGTGCTGGGAACTGAACCCAGGTCCTCTGCAAGAGCAGTAAGTGCTCTTAACCACTAAGCCATCTCTCCAGGCCCATACCCAGAAAATTCTTGAAAAATAAAAAGTTGGTGGGGTTGGAGAGATAGCTCAGCAGTTAAGAGCACTGGCTGTTCTTGCAGAAGACCTGGGTTTGAATCCCAGCACCCACATGATGGCTAAAAACAATTTCTAACTCCAGTTCCAAGAGATCCAATTCCCTCTTGTGTCCTCCAAGGGCACTGCATGACATGGATGTACTTAATATGCAGGCATAACACTTACACACATAAAAATAAAAATAAATAAATCACAAAAAAATTTAAAAAGAAAACTAAAAAGCTGGAAGGCACTGACAATTTCAAAGATTGGCACATAAACCAATGGATTAGAATGAAGAGTCCAGAAATAAAGAGCCACACTATCAACTGATTTTCAACTAGGGTGCCAACACAAATGATTGAGGAGAGTGGTCTTTTCAACAAATGGTGGTGGGGTTGGGGGAGGCTGGAGAGATGGCTGGAAAGATGGCTCAGTGGTTAAGAGCACTGGCTGTTCTTGTAGAGGCCCTGGATGTGGTTCCCAGCACCCATAAGGCAGCTAACAATCACCCGTAACTCCAGTTCTAGGGAATCCAATTCCCTCTTCTGACCTCTCTGGGCATTGCACGACCCAAGCGCACTTACATACAGGCAGGCAATACATTCATACACATAAAATAAAAACAGTATGTAAAATATATTTTAAAAAATGGTGTCAGGACAACTGGATAGCCACATGCAAATGAATGAATATGGACTCTGAACTCACAGCACATACAGAAACTAGAAGAGAATCAAGTATCTAAAACTACAAAAGCTTACAAGGTCAGCAAAATGGTTCTGTTGAGCAGCCTGATGAGCTGAGTTCAATCCCCAGAACCCACATAGTGGAAAGACCTGTCCCCAAAAGCTGTCCTCTGACACGTGTGCATATGTGCATGCACAAGCACACAGCACTACAGTTTACTTCATATCTACAATGCTGGGGGCCAGAAATGCTTGAGGTTTGGAGTATCTTCACAGACTAGAGAGTACGGTTGAAGGTCTCTAATGTAAAGGTAGGATTTCATATTTTCTAATAAGAGATACTCAAACTGTATAAAATTCTTAGATGAAAACAAAAGCATAAATCTTCCTAGCCTTGAACTGCACTAGGGCTTATAAATAAGATACATAAACAGGGGGATGGAGAGATGGCCCAGCAGTTAAGAATACTGAATGTTCTTGCAGAAGACCCAGGTTTGAATCCTAGCACCCACATGATAGCTAACAACTGTCTGTAACTCCAGTTCCAGGGGATCTGACGCCCTCTTCTGACCTCTGTGGGCATTGCATGACATGGATGTACTTACACACATGAAAGCAATACACACATATACATAAAATAAAAATTTTAAAAAGGTAAATGGATGGAACTAGAAACTGTTATACTAAGTGAGTTAACACAATCTCAGAAAAAAAATCGACA